GGTGAGGAGGAGATTCCAGCGGTTGGCGTTAAAGAAACTGCGGAGAGGGCAGAGAGGATCCAATGAGAGTAGGCTGAAGAAGGGAGACTCACTGAGATCAATGATGTCAAAGCAACAACAAATTGAAGGCAAGACTTAACAGGCGTTTCTATTATTCGGCCAATCTTGGAAATGTTTAATTAATACACTGAATCCTGCCACAACAGTAGCAAAACAACAAAAATGGCTTTCATAAGGATCAGGGCCCCAGAATACTAGCGCTAAATTGTTCTTGTTACCTACAAATGGGCTGGGTTTTTTAAAGCAGAGACAACACGCAGCAAAGGCAAGCGCAAGGCAAGTTTATTTATATAGCAACCAAAGTCTAACACAACCAATACCACGTCAGAATAAAACTCCAGCTTCATGCCTACACACTTCAACCACAACCGCATGCCAAAAAGAGCCTCAAAGCATTCCGTCCGGCTTGCTGGTTTTGATGATTTACCCAAATTTAGTGCTTGGCTTTTGTGAAATCAGTGTTCACTGAAATCGTTATTCTGTCAAAAAGATCACCAAGCATGAGCTGGGAAAGGCAGTTTTTGCTGCGCGCTTAGTTGGGCTACTTAAACGGTCCCATGTCATGGACCATTCCACTGATCATTAATTCCATTGCTTGACGCGTCTACTAGAATAGATTGATATTGACTGCAATTTTTTCCAAAATCATTCGGTTTTTCTCATACAGCCATCTCTGTAAACTACGTGTATTCACTGAATTTCACTCTCTGCCTTTAACGGCTCGTTGTAGCTCCAATAGCTCCAGCCCCCACCCTCCCTTTGAGCCCAGTGTGCTCTGATTGGTCGGGACGTTGTGAATCGCGCTGAGCTCCGTGGAGGTGTGGTTTCCTAGTTTAGCGACAGCGAAACACAGCCAAACTCACCCTGAGCACACACAAAGTCACAGCCGAAGTAAAAACAATAAGTGTGGCTTGATATTGAGTAAGAAAAAGGTTGATAAACGCTGTGAGAATGGGTCTGCAGAGAGAATTTCGCCGCGATCCCAACTGTCTGTTATCAGCCTGCAGCCAGGGAGGAGAGATCAGCAGAGCTGCTTGCGCTGAGTGTGTGTGTGAGGAAGTCCGTGGATTGGTCAATTTGGACCAATCAGCGGGGGCTTAATTTGGACCAATCAGCGGGGGCTTAACGTAACGGCTCCACGGATTGGTCCATTTGGTTTCCGGGTAACGCATGATATTATGAGTTACCCAGAAGAATCAATGGACAGTGACGTATCTCCAACTAGGCGTTTTGGGGAGGTATTTTCTGTTTTAGAGTTTTACTCGCTACAGGGTGTACTTTGAGGGTTTTGACTCTGCAGACCGTTTACATGCATAAAAACCTTCATAACACACAAGGGGACGGGTAATAACCGGAAAAGCATGACATGGGACCTTTAAGATGTTCATACAGAGAGCAAGTGTTGTTACTTAGTTGTGGTGTTAGTACCTTTCCTGCCTTCACTAAATACTGCAGGATGGTTCTAGGCAGCTTAAAAATAGACTTGGGCAAAGCTATGAGAGCAGAGACAAACTTCCCAATAGCTCGCTGCATAGGGGAAACAGAGTGGGAGGGGGTTAGTAGAAACATGACTTCATCATATTAGAAACATCAAGAGGTGACATGTGTTAGGAGACACATCATGTTGCAGTCCAGGATGCTGTGCAGATGGAGATGAAGGGATTTGTTATCACATTCTCCTGAGAGTTAGTATTCAAAACCTTCAATAATTTGTGTAAAAGTATTATTAAACTGTGCAAGCAATGCATGCTATTCTAGAAATGTATGAATTGTCTAGCATATCAATCTAGTCAAATCAGGGGTGGGAAGTAATGTACTTACTACATTTCAGAGGGAAATATTGTACAAGATACTTTTAAGATTAAAGAACTATATTAAAAAAAGTACCTCCACTTGCAACAGCGAGAGTAGTTGGTAATGTTGGAAACCCTTTAACATGCCAATATAACAATAACTGCAAGTAATTCAAATGATGATATTTGTATGTTATACTTACTGTTACTTAAGTAAAGGTTCTGATTGCTTTTGTTATATTATAAAGTGAATGTAATAAAGGAAATGATTTCCTTACTTCAAAATGCAACAGTACTTGACTTTGTTATGCTTTACCTCATAGCATCTTCATCAATATTAAAAACATGTAATCAATCGATGAATAATTATTAATACAAATCTTGTTTCACATCAGTGACGTGAGGTAAGGGGAGGACTTTCATACTATGCTATAATAAAAAGAAAGAAAATACAATGAAATCCATATTTGATGTCAGATCTTTCCACCATTCTGTGCTACACAAGCCATTTTTGTACAAATAGCCACATTTTGAGGCAGCGACCAGCTCAGCTTCCCCTCAGATTGAAACTGTATTTAAGCTGTAACACTTTGGGCTTCATATGTAAATCTGGCTCTGATACTAGCCAGTGCCTCCTCATCAACTGACACTGATGTAAGAAATGAACCACTTCTAGAAGTCACCTGAAACGCAGACTTCTTTGGCTGATCGTCCTCCTTTTTCTCCTCCTCCTCTTCTTCTTCCTCTTCACTGTCAGTTTCAAACAAGTAATAGTCTCCACTTCTAACCACTGAAGAGGCAGAGTGCAAATGCAGTTACACACAATCATTCATCATTTTTTCACAACAAAAAGTTCCCTTACTGAAAGGAAGAACTTAATAAACCACTTACCGTTAATTCAATTTCATTTATATTAAACATTAACTACAGTAAGCAGTGATATCGACACGCATTTAAAAACATCACAGACATGACAGGATGAAACAGAAAATGCAGACAATGTTAATATGACTGATATAACTGTGAGCAGAAAGCACAATGAAGGGTGTCTGTTAGAGACTCTTTTATTCCACATGTAAGCCTTTAAGCTACTCCACAGAGCAAGTGACTCCGGTCAGTGTTAGAAGCAATAGGATAGACGAGGCTGACTTGTGTCCTTGAGCAGAACCGCGTTGGTGCGGGAGGTAAAAGGAGGAAGCTGGGAGATGAAACATCAAATGACAAAGAGATAAAAATAGAGAAATAATTGAAAATGTCATGTGGGGGTGGAGCACGAAATCAGACATGAGTTCAAACCAAGCAGGCGACCTCTGTTCTGATTCAGGAACATTTTTAATTTACCACAAAAAGATTTTAATATTCAATCACTAGTTTTGCCGTTTAATTTCCGCCTGTTTGGTGATCATGTCTACAGGCAAAGAATGAACAAACCCTTCATCCTTTATTCCAGTACTGATGAATAAAGGCGAGTCGACTTCATATCTTTGCGTGAAAATGTTTTACAGCAGAGAGATTCCCTACTGTGGGCTTTGTAGGTGAGAGCGATGATGATGTTTCAAACAATCTCAAGCACAGACCTCCAGACATTAGTCTTTTTCTCTTTCTTCATCGTGTCTATTTAAGGCTACCCTGCTACTGACACTCGGTTTTACATAAGATCTCAAATCCAAAGTGCCTCTTCACATGTAGTGTACAGGAAGTAACCGGTAGTAATTCAATTTCCCTCCCAGAATAAAACAACGTGAGGAAAGGGTTCCTATAGCTACGGGATGAAATCTAAGACCAAAACATTTGATGTTATGGTTTCATGTTTAACGATGCAACCTTTGATTTTTTTTTAAGACTTTCAAAAAGTGGATTCAGGAAATTTTTATAACAAATAAAGCCTTATTTTAATCTAAATTAATTAATTAATGACTTTTTTTTTTTTAAGGTTCTGAGTTAATCAGTCTTATTAACATTAGACCTATAGTTACCCGTTTTGTAGGCCTTTTACATAATGCATTATAACATACTTATAATGAGTTATATGATTTAACTGCATGCTAAAGATTCAAATGTATTACAACTATTGGAATTATAATACACTATGAGCCTTGCCAAATAAAAAAAAGAAAGTATAAACAAGTATGGTACCCTTATAAGTAATTAAAAATGCTTTACAACGTGGTATGATTATTGTTGCATAAAGCATAGTAAAGATTTACGAGTGCTTATACAATGCTATTAGCAGATTATAAGGTTTTATAAGTAGGTAAATAATGCATTATAGACTTATGGGAAGCGCTACGACAATGTTAACTTAAACCGGAGTCCCACAGGGCACGGTTTAATACCCCTTTTTTTTTTTTTTAAGCTTTTAAATTAATCTTTAAATGAAGCATCAGCTGTTTGTCTATTTTTAGTTTTTTAATTTTAAATATTTGTTTTATACAGTAAAAATAATGTCTATGAGGTATTGTGTGTTGAAGTCGCACTATCCTCCTTTTAATTCATCGTTGTACCTTTAATCTAACTATATTTTGTATGTGTCTATAATGTTTACAGTGGTAACTGTATTCTGTGTGATATACATTTTCTGTGAAGCGCTTTGGACTGCACTTGTTGTATGAAAGGTGCTATACAAATAAAGATTATTATTATTGGATGTATGCGTATCCCCAGTGATGCTCTCTATTCTAATATAATATGATCTATTTAAAAAGGGCCCATAAATAGAGACAGAAAAGGACTAAAGTCTGCGTGTCTGATGGTGCCTTCAGGGCCCCGGGGCAGTATGGGAATCCTCAGCGTTCTGGTCAAGGACACAAGGGCCAATCAGAGTGGAGGAAGAGAAAAAAGAGGGTTGGGGGTCAACCTACTGGAAGCATGGTCAACCCACGGCCTCCACCACTGCTTTTTTTTGGTCTTGGCTTTCGCTCGCTGTGCTCCTAAAATTTCACAAATACATCAATACAACATTTCATAAAAAAATTCATTCTTGTGCAAACTTCAAGGCATTTCTTTGTTCTGCATTAAGCTGCTCTGTACTTATTTAAGATCAAATACTAACGCAAACACAACATATATGAATGAATTCAGGCATTAATGAGATCTGTCTTGATGACTAATAAAAAAGAAATAACACAGTGGTGGAATATAATTAAGTATGTACTTAAATTAAGTACAATAGGGACAATCTTTGACATACTAGTACTTGAGTATTTCAATTTTGTTTATACTTCTATTTCACTACATTTCAGAAATAATATTCAACTTTTTACTTCACAAAATGTATTTAACACATATAATTACTATTAAAGGTAGGGTAGGTAAGAATGGAGAAGCCAGCTCAAGTGCGCTAGAATTTGAAAATACACAGCCGAAAAAAATCTGCCCCTTCCTTCAGACTTCCTTACAGAGCCCCTCCTCCAACGCACAGGAACGCGCACATGACCAATGAGGGCACGAGATAAGTTTGTGCACAGAGAAGGCTGACAGGCAGGTAGGCCATCCAGTTATTTTAGCCGGGCCGGCTCAGATGATTGGTCGAGCTTTTTACAGCGCTACGGCTTCCACAGATGACATTTTTGTATGTATTTGTCAAAGCATTTAATATATTCATTGCTATCGGGATGTTAAGAGCATTCCATGGAATATAACAAAAAGTGTTTCTAAAGTGAATTATCTACCCCACCTTTAAGTGTAATTGAGTGTAAAAATCTTATGAGTCTTTACTCTATTGAACTATAGTTGTAATGAACATTCGTATACTTTTAATTTCACTACATTCATTTGACACTGACAAGTAAATATTTATTATAAAAGCACGTTAATTGGATGCATATATTTGACATATTCTTGATAACGCTTTTTGCTACTTATACTTAAGTATCTAAAATTGGCTTTTAACATTTAATTTATAGTATGGTAGGTAAGTTTGAGAAACCGGCTCGAGATACACTTTTTGTTATATTCCATGGAATGCTCTTAACATCCCGATAGCAATGAATATCTGAAGTGCTTTGACAAAAAATCCATTAAAAAATGTCATCTGTGGAAGCCGTAGCGCTGCAAAAAGCACGACCAATCATTTTAGCCGGCCCGGCTAAAATAACTGGATGGCCTACCTGCCTGTCAGCCTTCCATCTGTGCACAAACTTATCTCGTGCCCTCACTCGTGCGCGTTCGTGTGTGATGGAGGAGGGGCTCTGTAAGGAAGTGGCAGATTTTTTCCGGCTGTGTATTTTCAAATTCTAGCGCACTCGAGCTGGTTTCTCCAAAATGACCTAACCCACCTTTAATGTCATTAAAAAATAATCATGCTTTGTATTCCACTTAATTGAATTGACTTATAGTTACTAGTTGTTGTTTACACTCAAAACAAATGATAAACTTGTCTATAAACTGTATACAATATATATTATGATGTTGTTTTGAATGACTAAACTACCCAGTAGTAGTAAGTATCTAAAGGTATCCAAACAAAGCACATGATTAAAATGTATGTGATAAAAACACAATAATATAGTATTATTATTATTATTATTATTATATTAAATACAAACCAGTGAAAGAAGCCACTTTGTATGATGTGCAATTTCACTTTTGATATTATATCATTTTTAAATTAATTCATGAATTGTATTTACATTGTAGTACTTCTAGACCACGGTATTTCTACTTTTCCTGAAGTAAAGTATCTGGAACTTCTTCCACCACTGCCTCAACACATTCTGCTAACACTGCCTGCACAGAGGCGCTCAGCAGCCTTCGTCATACCGTCATCTTCCTCCTCCTCGGGCTGGAATTCTGTTACACTCCATTATTTCCCCACATCTCCCCCACGAGGGTCTGTCCTTCTCCAGGGACTCCTGCGCCATGCTCAGCAATCCTCTCCTTGCCCCTCTTAACTTTTTGCTGCCTCACCTTAATGCGCTCCATCCTGATTAGATCAGAGAGGCACGTGAACGAGACACGAAGTATCGACACAGAGGAACTCACCCACAGCTTAACAGACTGACCGTAAACATCTCTGGGCTTTCGGTGTATGGGGAAATGAGTGTACGTTATAAACAGTGGAGTGGCTATTAGAAGCGGGTGAGTGGATGTTATCAGGCTTATGAGTAAATCCTGAGGTAAGTGTAAGTGGTGGAATTACATTGACTATACGTTGTATGAAACTGAGCGATGGCTCTGGAAACAGTAACGAGCGGAGCCAGGAGTGCTTTTTAATACAGACTGATTTTAAATGGCCTTCTGAAATCAAGTCTACTTACTTATGAGATAAATTGAGACTCATCAAATATAGTTCAAAGTCCAGGAACTAGATGTTTACCGTGCCTGATTGTTATCACTTAGTTATCGTGGTAACCTATATCTTGGTTTTTCTTATATTCAACAAATCCCATAAACAAACGATGCATTTAATCAATTTTAAGAATGGCCTGTGCAGCAAAGCTGGGATTTTTGTTAAAAGTAGTTCCTTAAAAATACACTATAACTACAATTAATTGTTGAGTAATTTGTGTTAAAAATCAGTTTAAAAGCACCAAAAGAGAGAGACTAACACAATGTGGGATTAGGGTATTTCAAGAAGTTATGTAAATGTAAATGGTGTAAAGATGAATCAATGTCTTGGGCAATATCTTATCAAGTGTGACAAGATACACATCTAACCTAAGAAAATATTAAATAAGGGTGAATGTGGAATAAGTGAATTTATTTGGAGTCTCCACTGTCGTCTTCAGCTTGCTCCACAGGATTTGCGCTCCTCTTCTCAGTCGGGCTCTCACGCCTTCACGATCGTAGCTTGGAAGAGCTCCGCCCCTCTGTTCAAACACACAAACGTTCAAAACATCCACTGTCTACGTTTGATCACTTCTTTAGTATTTACTAACCAATAAAAAAAGAAGAAGAAGCCTGTACTGGGGAAGACAGTCATACAAGGAGCCAAGTTACATTTAATTAGAAGAACGGCACCTTTCTTTCTCCTGCATGGCCCTCATTAGTTTCTATTGTGCAAACAAAAAAGGCTAGTATAAGCTTCTGACATACTGACATGAAACTTAAATTTGTCCTTTTTACTTGATACAACCACACACCACACTTTTCTTCTCAGTCAAAAAACTCGTGGTCCACTCTAAGCCTTAAAGGTCCCCTATCATACTGTTTTTCATCAATATGATTACAGGTCTCAGATATTATACAAACATTCTCTGAAGTTTTTGTGTTCTCCAAACAGCGAAACAGATCATGCGGCCATTACCCATAATCCCTCTGTTTCAGCCCTTTTCCAAAGTGCTGATTCTCTGTCTGTTACTTAGATGAAAATAAGGAGCCCCTCCCCACCGCCCCTCTGAGAGATATTTGGTTAAAAATAACTTCAATGGTTCTCTAGAGGAGATTCAGGTGATTAAGGTGGGGGGGGGGTTACCTTGGTTGGCTGATTGGCTAATGGTTAAGCAAGCCAAGAAATTCGTTATGAACATCATAAAGTGGCCAAAATTCTGATCAGCTCGTTTTCAGACAGGTTTTTATATAATAGATCAGGACAAAAAGAGAGGGAATCTTTCTTTCCTAAACTTTCAGAGTCTCTTTACACAGAGGGGACCACATGGTGATGTAGAAGAGACATGACAAAAATGGATTTTGCATAATAGGTGACCTTTCAAGTGCTTGTGTCTTCATGATTAAAAACTTTGCAATCAGAGCGTTTCTTTGCATGCGGGATGGTCAGCTGATCTGTGTAGCCTGCACGGCGAGGAATCTGCGACGCCCTGAGTCGGCCACCCGATGCAGGAAGTAGTAGCTCATGGAAAGACTCGTCTCTGCAGCAGCCAGGAGCGAAGCAGATGCTGTCCCAGATGATCCCCGCCTCGTTGCTGGGCAGCTCACAATTCAGACTCTGATTTGATTAACATGGTGAAAATGGTGTCTTTATTAGTTTATTCCACCCACATGGCAGTTATTTGTAAAGGCAAAACATGTACACTTTACTACTGTGTATTTTTTAATAGCGCATGGTGGAAAGGAGAAGGAGAAGAAAATGTTCTTATTACCTGCCCTTCTTAAAAAAAAGAAACAAGAAAAAAAAAGAAATAACCATAAAAAAGTAAAATAAAAGCAATATTCTTTCAGCTCACAGTTGGCTTTACAAATACTGAAACACAATCAAAGTCAACTTCATACCGTCTAATTATGCTTTCTTTATACATTTTTCTAAACATAAAATGTTTCTTTACAGCCCTTTCAATCTATAATATGATTTTAATTCTCAAGGGTGTGATGTTAGACCAGCATGTGTCAAACTCAAGGCCCGGGGGTCAAATCAGGCCCTTGGTGATTTAATTCGTCCGCAGGAATAATTTCTAATTATTATTAGAGGTCTGGCCCGCCGTATATGCACGCACACCTTCACTCAATCCTGTAGGTTCCTCAGCCAGAAGCCTGACCCCAAACATTGATGAACTTGCACCCGAGATGAGATGCCCAAGTATCTGAACTAGCATCACAGAGCATGCACACTGTCATATGGATGTCCTCGCACTGTTTCTCACGAAACAGGGCATGTTTTTTTTTTCTTTGAGGAAATATTTTTGTGAAGCTGTGTCCTGTGAAAATATTAAATATAAGTAATGATCTTCTGTGGTATATATAAACTGCAGATATGTTGTAGATGAAATGAATGCAGCTGATTATGTACGATGTTTAATGGTGTTTTATAGGCAATCAGTCGTTAGTTCCAGGTTAATAATGTGCAATAAGTTCATGCAATAAGTATTGCAATAAACATTGACAGTCCGGGCCCTCGACTAGTATATTTCTAATTTTGTCTTCCACTGTGTATTTGAGTTTTGTTATCACCCCTGATGTATTTATCCCTTATTTTCTTGATAGTTGATTGGAATCTGTTTTACTGAGTACATATGACCTGAAAGTATAAGACTGATGAGAGAGAAACAAGGTGTGGTTTAAATTTGAGGTTTTGGGAAAACACAATCTGTGTTGACTAGCAGTTACCACCTATGAAGGGAATATTATCACCGTCTGTACAGTGTTTTGGCGATGTAAAATCAAGTTGTTGTGTCCACTCACTCTTTGCGTCGTCGATGTTGATTTCGTATTCCTTGATGGTGGCAGCCAGACTGAACAACTGTTATCGACCAGCAGCGCGTCCGTTAATCAGAGAGTTGATGTAGCCACAAGCCAGGATCTACGAACAAAAACCCTTCATCTATAAACCTCAATGCAATACTTATCTCAGGGTTCTTTACACTTCTTTTTATTACCACTTTTTTCACCAATTTATTTCAATTGACTTCTTCATGGACCCTTTACCTAATTTTCCATGACCAAAAGAATTACTCTTTCTCGAGCGGTACCACTGAAAATGGTTTATTTTAACATGGAACAGGAAAAATAAGTCTGCATATGGTGAAACATGTTGTCCGGATCTAAAAACAAATCAAGAGTGTAGGCCGCCGTAGGTTACTGAGTTTCTACAGGCTAAAGCAAACTAAAATCTCTCACGGCAAAATACCTCGTCAGTTAAATGCCATTTTCTTTACCGTTCATTACTATACGATACAGTATTATTATCGTTATAGTATTATTATTTGGCCGATTAGCTAAATATAAATTATATTTGATGCCAACTTAAGTTACATTTCATG